ATACATGTTTGAAGTGAGTAAACATGATTTCATTTCAGACCCTATTGTGGACACATTTGGTATATGTTAAAAAAACCAGTGCCTTATGCGTTTACAAATTGACTGAACCAAGCTTTAAAGTTGATATTCATTGATTTTAAAAACTAAATTTATTTTCATTATTGGAAAGTTGAAACTTTGATTCGACAAGGTTATCACAATTCAATTCAAGTAACGATTATTATAAATTACAAAACGCTTAAATACAGCCCCGGCATAGCACCGGAAGAGCTCTCCGAACGCTGCTGAGATGTGTGAGATCACAGTATGGACATGACTTGCACAAGCAGACGATGCCCCATGACATCTCACATATTTTCAGTGCCTGTGTTTTCATCTTTTCTTGAGTCCTTTCTCTTACTTCACTACCGTCAGGCTAAATGTATAATCTATTGCCTCACCCTTTACCCCGCGCATGGTTTTATTTTGATGACAAATGCAGCGATACAAAAATAAAGGAATCTGTCGCTTGTAAACAAAATAAGACGCCATTGTATATTCAGCTGCACACATCGGGGTATGTTCGGCGTTTCAAGAGGGAACAAATGCCGTCCTTAATATCATTCCAGGGGGTTTTCAATTTGAAAGTCTGGTTTCTTTGATTGTTAATTAACCCCAATCCTGTGTATTTACAAGCAAAAGATTTTAGTTATCAGAATCGGGTCATATCCCCTTTTGAATGGTTTGACATGCTATTACATTTATATACACTAAACTCATTATAATTTGACAAATAATAGCTTTGCAATTATATTCATTCTCTATGGGATGTCGTCTGCTTGGGCAGTGTTGGTCCATATAGTGACGTCCTTAAAACATCGTTATTTTTCCGGCGAATCTCTGGTATATCCCAGCTGCTATGGAGGTGGTTGTATTTGTATTTTTTTATAAATCACCCGATATGTAATTGACCTATAACTTGTACGATGGCCATCTGTTAGCTTACCAGTTTCTAGTCATACATTAGTTGACATATTTGGGATTTTCTTTGAATTTCACCTTTAATTTTAATGTGCATGTTTAGAAAATTCAGTGACTCGAAACGAAATTGAATGCAAAAAGTTAAAAAAATGAAACAGGGGAACAACGAGTGGAGAAAATTCGCTCAAAAATGAATGCACGTTGGTGAAATTGATCGCTGCTTTGACGAAATTGGCCGAGAAAAACTATTAATAGGGTAATCACACTGCCTGTGCAAACAGTCTGCCCCGCGAACACACACACACAACAGCAGTCAGTTGGTAGAAATAGCAATTTTTGTAAATGTATTAAAACAAAACTCAACAATATTTTTGAATTTTTATTTCACATATATTTAAAGCATACCTTTAACTACAATTCTGTGTAGTTTCATTGTTATAGGCATGTGGGAAATATTTTAATTATTGAATTAGAATATTGTCTTTTCAGCCATGTGTGACATGGCTCGCTGATCGCCCATTGACTCGCGCTGCTATTCTGCGTGGTGAAAAAAATGCACCTCAATGTATAAAACTCCCCTACAAAAATTGCAATATCCTCATGTGTTTCACTCATTGATAAAGGGTTACTTTTCACGCAACAAAGTCCGGCTCGTAATACACAAAAATCCGACCCGCACTGAGCTTTCAAATAGAGGGAACATACATGCGCGTACCCTAGATAACACTGAGTGGGTGGGGGGGGGGAGAAGAGTCGGTGAGAAAGGGGGAAAGACAAGGAAATGGCGCTTACTGACAGTAACGACGAATAAGAAAAAAACTGTAATCGGGAGATTTGGGGTCATTCCAGAAGGCTTGGGAAGCGTTATTGAATAGAGGGGGCCGGGCCGGCCGCATGAAATCTCGAGCCACGGATTTAAAGTTCAACGTTAAAAACAGCCCCTGCTTTTTGGAAAAAAAGTGAAAAGGGCACACTATTTTGGATGTCTTTCAAATAGAAGCTATATACTTAACAGTCAAATTTTTAAATTAACGGTAGAGGGGCTGCTTCACAACTCTTATTTTGCCCTTCATTTAGATTCAGCTCATACCAACTCGCTTGTGCTTATTTTGAACTCATGTTGGTAGTAATCATGGACAGGGGCGGCGATCCTCGGCCCGATAGAGGGACACGTCCCCCCTGGAAATTTAGATATATAGCTAGAAAGAAATATACAAGTAGCGGAAAGAAGGTACATTGGGATTTTCTAGAATGCATAATTTCAGCATTCTACATTGCAAAATCTCGTTTGGTCGCTACGCCCCGGCCCTCGTCCGATAACACAAAACTATGATATGACGCTCCCGGTCGTGATTATTCCATAGTTGGTGTAATAGATCCTTTTTTTTTCCCTTTCATTTCTACCGACCTAATTGTGTGCTATCACAATCATGATTGTTTCATTTTCCCTTTAAAGCATGCGAAGCTAGGGGCGGTAGGGGCAGAAAGAGGACACAGGACGAAAAAGGAGCAGACAGAGAAACATTTTTTTAAAATTCTGACAAGTCGAGAACGGTACAACGAATCGTCTTCTTTCTTTAATAATTAATGAAACGTTAAGCTTCTGCGCTTTGCGCTGGAGGGGGAAACTGAATTTAGAGAAGGATTAAGAGTCGAGAATGGAACAACGAATTATCTTCTTTCTCTAATAATTTCTTTAAACTATGAAAGTTCAAAGCTTCCGCGCCTCGCGCGGAAGGGGGAAAATGAATTCAAACAAGGATCAAGAATCGAGAATGTGACAACGAATCGTCTTATTTCTCTCATAATTTAATGAAACGTCAAAGCTTCCGCGCGGGGGGAGGAAACTCAATTTACACAAGGATTAAGAGTCGAAAATGGTACAACAAATCGTCTTCTTTCTCTAATAATTAATGAAAGGTCAAAGCTTCCGTGCTTTGCGCTGGAGGGGGGGGGAAACTAAATTCAGACAAGGATTAGGAGTCGAGAATGGTACAACGAATCCTCTTCTTTCTCTAATAATTTCATGAAACATCAAAGCTTCTGCGCTTCTTGCGTAACTGGGGGGGGGGGGGGACAGCGAGGGGGACTGCCCGAATATATATTTTTTAATATCTTTTCTCGTATATTTTGGTGATAAATAACACTTTCAAAAAATACATATTATCCTCAAACTTTTGCTTGCTCGCTTCGCTTACTAGCCGAAATGTGAAACCAGAAAATTACCTTTTCGGGCAAGAGGCTTCAGCCCCCCCCCCCCCCCCGATGAAAATGTCAAAAGTTGTACCGGTATGGTGCTTCTAATATGACCTTGTCAGGATTGGTATGTTGAGTTGAAAAACGGTCGGCGCAATTTTCAAATTTCCGCCCCCCCCCCCCCCTTATTGGAAAATCCTGGATCCGCACCTGGTTCAGGTGCAATTTTTTTAATTTATTTAAAAATATTGACCATATCTCTGTCATGTATAGTCATGTCTGAATGATATTTGATATGCATAACTTTGATGTTATGGGTAAACTTTTGGTCACTCCCATGTCCGTGTGCGCGTCACTGCAAACGCGTTCACGTTCTTTTTTGGTTCCATGACATTTGCTCCGGCGACAATTGCTCCGCTGTAAATTTCATACACTAATCGAATGGCTAACTTCAACCCTGGATTCAACACTATACCCTACCCTAAACCTAACCCTAAACCTAACATAAAACCCTATTGAAACCCTAACCCTAACCCTACATCTTAGACGAAATAAAGCCCGGAGCAATTGTCGCAGGAGCAAATGTTGTGTCACCTCTTTTTTGCGTTTAGTTTTGCCATTAGTGACCTAAATCTAGCTCATAGACGTTCGTTCAAACTCAAAATCGACGGACGCGCGCATATGCACGAATTGCCAAAAGTGGTCGATTTCATGTATTATGTTTGCTGTTTTAATGCTTTGTCATCAACATAGTGCCACTTAAGGGAAAACGACTGAATTTGATTCGATTAGGTAATATTTGCCGTTTTTTAATAAATATATCTCTTTACCCCTACTCTGATTTTTCCCAAATTGTATTATATTATACCTGAAACCTTATTCTGAACCTGATTCAATTTTTGATCAGAAGACGGGATCGATGAAGGTGAGAACTGAAAAATCTGCCATTGAGTTTGTGTGGTATTTCCTTAATGGATACTGGGTAGTCATTTATGAGTTATATTTGGTATTCATTAACTTGACGTCATGGGCAACCTTCTGGGTATACCCATGTCCCGGCAGATCACCTGAATCACCTCCGTGACGAATTCAATGTCTAGTTAAATATTACTATTAACGTTTGTTGCAGCCACATGTACACATATTTACATGTGTTCTATTCTGTAATTGTTTGCTTTTTATGCCAAGATTTAGTCCAACCTATATATTCATTACTTTTTTCTTACACTATACATGCAGTAAGTGGAAGTGTAAATAGAGAATTACAAAATAACAACATACCTCCAAATGATTATCTGCTATTGGATAATCTTCGTAGTACAAAAGACTTTCCTCAAGTGGATAGACATTGATGGTTTTCTTGCCTGTAGTATTGCCTTGATATATGTGAATCAATTAAATTTTGACCACAGTAATCCAATTAAGATCTAAACATGTACGAGTGTTTTACATTGTATTTATGTCATTGCTTAGTTCTTAATTGATAGTAATGCTAATACTATGAAATGACTGGGTTGCGATTTACTATTGCTCTTGAAACGTTAAGTTGTATTTAATGTTTTTTTTTTGGGGGGGGGTTAGGTTTTTGACAAGAATATCAAGATTATCAGTATTTGGTAATTCTTTCTAATGTAATCGGATCCATTATTCTGTTTTTGAATATCTTGATTGTTCAATGTTTTTTATATTGTACAGTGTATACAGGATTTGATGCAAAATGTATTTTAGATTGAATACATGAAGCGAACAGATTTTGAATAACATGATTGGATTAGTGTTTGATTTGTGTTGATGTGTTGACGTGTATAATTTAATGTTTAATATATTTCTTTTGTTCTTGACAGTCTTGCCAGGAGTATCAATATTGCTTCCAGAGAGAGTGAACCCATACCAACCATCTAGCTTCACATGTTATGCTCGGGGTAACCCAGTTCCTGAGGCGTCCTCGGTTCATCTTTATAGACGTAGTGGAAGCAACTATAACACGACAGGAATCACCAGGAGATCAAGCACTGTCTCAGGGTCAGAACGAGCTGTTGTCTTTGATGTTGATAGTGTGTATCCACAGGACTTTGGGGGATACCAGTGTCGTCTTTACTTTGAGAATAACACCTATTACAGTAAGCTTATTACCAACGCAACCTATGGTGAGCAAACTGAGTGGCATCGCTTTACTCTTATATAGTTCTGTGAGATACCTGTTTATTAGAAAGCATGAATCCACTTTCTTTAAATGTAGAATAATTTTCAGTCACAATGTCTGCATAAAGGGTTACAGAGGCTCGAATCAGTTATGTTTTTAGTTTTATTATGTATTTCGTTATATTGAATGGCATATTGACTTGTTGAAAGAACTTCGATTACAGGTGTGTTATTGAATTTGACGGTTATTTCAATAAACTGTATTAACTGTTTATGTCTATTTTAATTGTTGTCAGTTCTGCCAGTCCTTGAGTCAAAAGTGGAGGTTACCAGCACGTCAACTTCAGTTGGTCTTCAATGGAACGCATGGTCTGATGGAGTTGACATAGGGGATCCTCCTTTGGTAGGATATGATGTCTTTGCACAGAAGGATGGTAAATGGGTAGCGGTTCAGAGCGTAGACCAACCCACAACATCAGCCATCGTTATCAACCTGACATCTGATACAGATTACATATTTTGTGTAGCAGCAGTGAGGGAAGGAACAGGTGGAACAGGACATGTGTGTCCTAGCAACGGCACAAGGACTCACTGTGGAAGTAAGTTATGCTGAGAAGAAAAGCGATTGATTTTTGTCACGGGTTTGTCAAGATTTCAGAACGTATAATTAAAATGTTCAAAAATTTTCAGCTTGATTTGTACATTTAGCTACATTTAGCGCAATGTATGATTTCACCATGACGTGCAAGTACATGTAATGATTCAATCTACTATGGGTCCAGCAATTTAGTATCTTCTATATAATTTTAACTTCAGAACCCAGTGCTTCTCCAACTGGACTACAAGTGGCAGCCATCAACCCTAAAGAGCTAGAGGTGAAATGGGAGGTATGAACTTCCTTAAAAATAGGTGTTTGATCATTTAGTGAAATGTAGTTAGAAGAGAGGACTTGTCGAGAAAACAAATTGCATATTAAACTGCTAAAGGGATTGTGATTGTTTGTCTCTGATTCAAAACAAAATCCTGGATTTAACTGATGCTTCAAACATAATCATAAACCTTTAGGTCAGTCAAGAATCCCATGACTTTTACAAGCCGATCGCCTGTCTCATTATCAAGACATTTATAATTTGAGCTCGACATTTCAACAACCGTATTAGGTTCATGATATAACACTACTGGTCACTCAAAGATTTTTATTTTTTGAAGCAATTCATGATCATTCTGAAGCGCAATTTTGTAAGGGCTTCAACATTCCACCATATCACAGACACTGATAACACGTAGTGTCATACATTTTAACCAAAAACATTGTTAAACAATGCCTTTAATAGTCAAAAGGTCGTTACAATGAGGTAGAACCACACCGTTAGGATATGGAGCTGGTAAATACATGTACAACCTTGATTAGACTTGATTTTATCTACAATTTCCTCGAGATATGTCAAATAAGAATTCTTTCACATCACTAACTATTAGGCCTTTGGCATTTTGGGTGTTTATTTACGTTCCTCATCATTTGACTAAATGAAATATGTCCTGCGCAAAAACAAAGGCGTACAAAGTGTTACTGTCTGCTCCTCGAAAGTATTAGCTGTTGTATTTATGAAATGGAGTTTTAGTTTAGTTTACAGAAGGAACAAAATATAAATACGTTTTGTGATCGACAGCTAATCGAGCAGCAGAATGCAACATCAGAATGATTGCAGCATCCTTATTAGTGCAACATTTTGTTGGAAAAATAACATCTTGTAGTTTTATATATTAGTGTGGCAATAACTTCTTTTATGTGGTTCTGTTGCATATAACATGTATTTTCACTTTTTATGTTTCAGCACCTCCCCACAGAATCGGCAGAATGCAGGAGTGGGGTGACTCATTATATGATCTACTACGTTTCCACTGGGTCAACTTCTTTAAACTCTCTCATGGTTCCTAATGACACAAGCTCCTACACATTAAGAGGGTTGGAAACCTATCTGGACTATACCATCCAACTGACTGCATCGAATAAAGACGAGGAGAGTGACAGGAGCAGTGAGACTGCCAGCAAAACAATTGAAGAGGGTTGGTGTTTATCTTAGGATGTATTATTATTATAGGGTGGGGGCAGTTGCTTTGCGTGTTCAGTGCCTAGATTAATATTCTCGTAGATAATATTTTATCACAACCTGCGTCTAACGTGATATTTTTGGTTGATTTTACTTCATTTCACAGTATACTTTCAATTTCATCTACAAATTCGATTGATCTTGATAGAGTGGGAATCATTCATCCTGCTAGACTGCAAACTGTATGGTCTGTAAACTGCTAGTTCATTAAACTCAACTCGAGGACTACAGTTTGTTAGAATTAGACCTCGGTCTAACTTCTTTATTCAATTCAACTTCAGACAATACCTAAATCCAGCTTCAGGTTTAATATTAGTGGAGTACGGACGGATATGTTTACACGTCAAATATTGTCGGAGATCAAGTGCAATAAGATATCAAAATATATCTTTAGAAGTGTTTTATATTAACTACTTCTTTCTGCATCATAACAATCCTATACATGACTTTTTGAGACATAAGAGTACTATTTCCTAATATAGTTTATTATTCTTTGTGATTCCAACTCTTATTTCTTAAATAAAAAAAAGTTGCTTTAAGAGCGCTCGTAAGTTATATTTGTTTTCTGGAATTATGTATTGTAGTAACCTGTTAAGACTAGACTAACTACAACAACTAAATCTACTATATTTCAGTGTGATCTCTTTTGAACAATTTTTCTCCAAGCAGTTGCTCCCGCTCCAATAAATTTGACTATACCGCAGATTACTAAAAGCTCCTTCACTGTATCCTGGTCTACCCCTTTACCATCTAACATCAATGGTAACATCCAGAAGTATATCATCCGCTTCAAGCGAACTGATTCAGCTGTTGATGGCGATTATGGGATGGAGGAAGTATGGACTAGTGCATTTGATGGGAAACATACTGTGACGGCCGTTCTGCCCCGTGAAATGAAGTATACTGTTCAGGCAAGATTATTAGACCTCAACACTTAAGACCCAAAGATTAAGGGAATGTTCAATCTCTTCAGATTTTAGTATATTGAAGAATGAGCTGTTATTAAAGCGCTGTTGGAAAAATTATCTACTTTTTTGGATGAAAGGTCTAAGGGTGTTGTGATCTACAGTAGTAGATCCGTCGTCGGACTGTGGGTCACAGGGTCCGCGGTTCGAGTCTCGCTACGGCACTAATGTCCTTTGGCAAAATATTAATCTACATTTGCCACTCTCCACCCAGGTGTTAATTGTGTCCCGGTAGGAAGCAATTCAATTAATACTGTAAGCACCGAAGTCTGCTGCCTAGCAAAGCCGGGGTAATAGGTAGAGCGCCTTGATCACCATGCATGGTGGATATGTGCATGGTGGATATAATCATATAAATATCTAATAATGTTAGTATTAGATCACAAAGTTATTCTTTTTCAGATTCATACCACTGATTTAAAAACATATCAGATTTGAATGCGTAAAGTATTGATATGATGAGGAGGACACTAGTAATGATTGCCCAGGGATTTTTCCCGAGGATGTAATCTTATGATTATGTATATATTTTATTTAATTGATATAAATAATATATACAATTCTGTCGTGTGTAAATGACGTTTGTAGTGTCATTATTCTGGCAACAACTTTTGCTTTTACTTGTATGTTTGTCAGGTCCAAACTTTTAATGGAGCTGGTTCTAGTAATTGGTCCCAGCCAGTGCATGCAGGTGAGAGCATAAATTAAATGAAACTCGTTCTACCCTGAATGTCATATCTATAAAAAATTGTGTAGGTAATGTCGTTTTTGAAAGGTGGTAGAAGTAAAATACAATCGGCATTCAATTAACTTTGTTTTTCTTATAGTATGTTCTATATTACTCCTGTTCTTTTGTTTATGATATGGATGCTTTCATGTGATTTTCTTCCCTTTTTCTCTAAAGTGTGCTTCGAGCATTTGACTTCAAGTGGATTACGCTCTTTACCAATCTAATCAATTATTAGTATTATTATTATTATTGAGTAAGAGCTACATGTCAAACTAAAGTCCGTATATAACCTTCATAAATATGTAAGTTTGTACATAAGTATGTACCTTGTCAGTTTTGTTTACATCTTCATACTAATATTATTCCGTATTCTCTGTTTGATTTGCCCAATGAATTTGGAAAAAGTTGAATGGTCAGGACTAATCATGTGTAGTTCAAAAAAGGTAGAAATGGATGCATAAATCTAAAACATTTCTGTGTTACATCTTTTTGTGAAACTTTATTAAAAGAATAGAAAATTTATCATTTATGCATGTAAAATCACATTCTACGTAGAATAAACAAACGTACTATTAACAAATATTAATGCATATTAGAACCACAACAACATAATTATATGTATATGTATTTCTTTTTTTCCAAAGGTGAGGATAATAATACCAAGATGCCACTAGAGCATGTGATAGGGGGTGTGATAGGATCCCTCGTTATCATCATATTACTAATATTTACTGCGCTGATGTATAAAAGGTTAGTTAAGTCAACAACAGTAGAAACATTCAAGTGAATTGTATACCTCTGTCTGATAATGTTATCATAAATAAAGATGATAAATTACTGTAAATGAGACGTTATAAAAGGTCGAATACTTGACCATCTAAAGTAAGCCAAAATGATCATAATAGATAATGTGATTGCATGATATTCCGTATTCTAAAGGCCATTGATACATGTGTACATATATTTATGTATATACATTGTATATATATATATATATATATTCAATGAATTGTTTATAATGTGTTTTAAGGTTTTGTATTATAAGTGGCATCCACAATGACACGCATGTAGTTGTTATGCTCATCAGGGACCATTTCTCCTCCATTTGTATCTGAACTCTTTTGTGTGTGTGTGTGTGTGTCTGTGTGGGTGCGTGCGTGCGTGTGTGTGTGTGTGTGTGTGTGTGGGGAGGGGGCTTAATCTCATTGATGTCACATACAAAAGGGAAATAAATGTTGCTTTCAATTGAATTTCACTTCCAGGATCAAACAAAGACGTTTAAAGGCTGAACCAATCACATCGCCCCCAAACAATGCACCTGAGCCCTCTGTTGAGTATGAGAACCCTGTATTTGATGACACCAAGCAAGACCCCCATAACTACGAAAACCTGAATCCCGACGACCATGCCTACCAAGATCTCAATACAGAAACACCAAAATACCAGAATCTTACCGACCCCCATATCTACCAAGCGCTTAAGAAACCCAACATCAACGTTACCTGTCAAGATGTCACAAAATCCGACCCGGGTGACACTTACGAAGAAGTATAGAGGTAACTCAAGCGAAGAAGAGGGGTATGATGCAAACATTGATACATGCTGGATCAACAATAAATCAACATGTTTTGCGATATACAGAGTTGGCATTATTTGTCATGATGTTCATACTACTTTGTTTGTATACATGTACATACTCATACTACCGTACTTTTTATTTCACTTTTTACAAGAAACATAACGAAACTTAAACAGGTATTCTTAAAATGTTATAGAAACAGGAATTATGTTACGTGATGTTTTTAATAACTTCTAGCTTGCAAATAAAGGGAATGGAAGGGAAGTTATCACGTCTAAATTATTTAAATTATTAATGCCTGATACAGGAAATGTTTTGTCTGTTTTCCCTTGAGGCGTTGCAATGTTGTAGATCTCTTTTGAGATTGTTTAAATGTGGAGATTATATAGATTTATCAACACCAGAAAAGCATGCCAAAAGCAAGAAAAGTAGTTTGTTGTAAGCAAATGTAAGAATATATATATTACTCAGTAATTAAGGCCTATTTTCCACAAGCAACTTCAGTATAATTTCTTTCAAACACGCCGGTCACCCTCGGCAAAAATGCACAGTAGACCGTTAACACTTAAATAATTACAGTGCTTATATAGCGCCTAACACTTACTTTGTCAGAAGTCTCTAAGCGCTCTACAATAATGCCCGTTCCCTTCAACTCTATGTTCGGTCGCTCGTTTGTCACACGTGCAATGTTGCACAAAACAATAAGCCAGTTCACAGATACAATCTGCGCATGGGCAGATGAAGGCCATTTGTACCAAATTGGTAAAACCCACAGAGATGAATACTGGATGTGCGCTCATGAAAGTTATGTAACATTATTCATTTATGCACCCACGGTACATTCTATGATACGCAGGTGGAAGTATTCGTTTCAAGAGGTCAAACAAAAGGTATTCATGAAGCACATCTAGGACTTTGGCAGTTATTATTCTAAGATGCTCAAAGTGGAAATACTCTATGTGTAAAAGACCTGTGGATATTTGGTGTCATTTGTACCATGTGCTATCTGTAAACTCCCTTATAGGCAAGGAATGACGGAGGGATTGCTTTGTGCATCCCGATGGCTTGCAAAATTAACTACTTCCGGTCGCAATTGGCTCAATGAAAACCCTTTGGACACTGGTAAAGATTAATTGCAATGGCCCCTCCTGTAGCCTTAGCGCTCCATTTTTGTAATCATATTTAAAGGCCGTTTCCGTCTATCTTTAATCATATTTTAAATTTGAATTGTACATTTAATCAGTTTAATACATGTACTGGAACACAATGGAATTTACGCTCGCCACTGTTTAAATATAATTTTAAAGAAGCATTCTTACATTTACTTATTGGATCTAAATGCTGGAATACTGTCCCAATTGATTTAAAGTTGTGTCCAACACTGTTAAATTTCAAAAAGATATATGAATCGCATCTGCTGTGCAATAGCACTTAAAACGCAGGTCATGCATGTAAACTTTATTTTTTGTTATGTATCTTTCTCGCTCTCCTTCATAATTTTCTTAATACTACTTTACACGGAGATTACCCCAGATAAGCCTTTATTTCGATTTTGGTGATCCGGGTAGTTTACGGGTAGTTCTTACCTTCCCCTTTTTGTATATTATTTTAGTGTTTGATTGTTGGATTTTTAAAAATATTTATTATTTGTTTCTCTGTAATTTATATATCATGTATTTTCATCTTTTATATTATATTTTCTAGTTTTTTATCTTTGAATGTGGAAATTAATAAATAAAATAAAATGAAATAAAATGTTTCACTGGAACTGTATAATATACATGCAGCCATTAGGTTATGGAATAGATACGTGGTGCAGGGAAATTAATTATGTGACACATAAAGAGGTAACTCATGAAATAGGCTGTGATTAATAAATGAATGTAATCAAACGCCCAGACTTTTCCAGTTTTTCCATTGTTTTCTTTTTTGTTAAATGAAGTTTGGGAGGCGTTTTGTCAGATTCGACACCAGGTGTCGAATCTGACAAAACGCCTCCCAAACTTCATATAATTCATACCAGCCTGAAAGAGTAATTGAATATGGGTCGCTCATTTGTTTGAAGTTGGGGGGGGGGGAACACAAACAAAAAAGGAAACCTCAAAATGAACATACACAATTTTTCGACATTGGTATATACCCCTACATCGTCATGATTGTGATTACGTGGTACAAGATAATGCTGAAAAATCATACTTTGCAGTTTGGTGTGATGGTCTGAATATTAATTTTTGACCGAGCGGGCCGAGCGAGCCAAAATTCTATGATTTGTGAGATGACAGTGCGAAAAATTACATCTTATAAAGAGGAAACAACAAACCCTGACAAGTTTTAAGCCCACCCAGGTGAAGTAAATGGGTACCTGGTAGGAATTTATTCCTTGAAATGCTAGAGAGCTATAATGGCAGCACAGCTAAAGCCGGGGTAATAATATCCAAGTTTGGAAGCGCTTAGAGATTTATTGTGATTTGCGCTATATAAAAGCTGAATATTATTATTATTATTATGAAAAAGGGCACTTATGAGAATGGTAAAGGGACACTTATTGTAAAGGAAAAGGGGCAGTTGTTGCAGGAAAGTGCACTTTTCCGATTTTAATACGTCATTTGCAAGAGGTAAGAAGTGACATTTATGATAAAGTGAAGGGGATCTTATGAAAAATTGGGGAGGGCACTTATCACAAAGAATGGGGCCACTTATTAGAAGAGAAGAGGCAATCCTTACAAAGAAAAAAATGCACTTGTCCTATTTGAAAAGGTGCACTTTGTGGGTACCTGAAAAGTGGGGAAGGCACTGTGCCCCCCCCCCCCCGGGGGACACTTCTCCCTTAAGAATCCATAATCTCGGTCCCCAACATAAAAAAATCCTCTGTGTGCCCATGCCTTGAGTCATAATGCATGGCCGTACAGAGGATTTTTTTATGTTGGGGACCGGGGGAAATTCAACAAAATATTAAAAAAATTATTGCATTTTCTTTGTTTTTTTTATTTGTAGGAACTGCCCCCTACCCTAGCCCCCGCTACGTACAGTCATGGTTTAATGACAAAGCAATGGCCTCGTAACTGTGAGGCCCCTGGATCAAAACCGTGTCGATGTGCTTTATTAGTGCCCTTTTGTGGGGCATTAATCCTCATTACTGTCATTTATGACTTAAGGGCGTAGGTCCCCTAGTTAATACGCATACACATGCTTTAGCGGTCACGCAAAACACAAAGTGGCAAATTATTATTCAATACAATCTGAGAATGTATACTATTATCTAGATCTATTAGGAATGAATTATTTTAAAAATAATTCCATAAATTGGGGTAAAACAAAAATATTCAAACTATATGAGCGACAGTGTATGTTAAACTAAAGAAGAAAAAAGCCAGTCAGTCACTCAATAGTGTCTGACAGTGAAGTCTAGCGAGTAAACGGGTTTCCTTGCATAATTTGAATATTAGGACACTGCTCACGTTTAAATTTCACAGATAAGACATACATGACATATTCATAATCCCTGCAAAGTTCTACAGAATTTGATGTTGGCTGCAGAAGGGACATAGTATCTTTAAGTGGGAAAGTTGTTGCAATCTCTAATGTAATAGTCTGATTTTCAGACCCTTGTACCGAATGGTCGTACGTTTTGTGCTGCGCAAAGATTCAATCAGTTAAATTTTGGCCATATCAAGAATTGGGTTATTGATGTAGACAAATGCTCATGTATCTTTTACAGCTCAGTTTATGTATGTTATTACCAAAGAAAAAACAGGAGTTTCTCAATAGTTTCTGACATTGAAGTTTAGAAAGTAAACGAGTTTCCTTGCATAATCTGACTATTTGAGTTCCACAGATAGGACATACGTTACATGTTCATAATTCATGTAAAGTTCTACAGAATTTATGTCGGCTTCAAATGGGACATAGTGCATTTTAAAGGAAACAAAATTGTTGATGTAAAGGAATATTGGGGAAGCTATTTTGAGTAGCAGAAAAAAAATAACTGGAGTTTAGTGGATGTAAAAGAGTATGATACTATAATGCAGTTTAACGGTACTGTGAAGCTCCTCAGATATTTATTAACGAGGAAGGTTTATGAATATTTTTATAGAGAAGTTACAACATTTATTTGTTTTCAAGATTCATGATGGACGGGGATTTCAGATTTTTTAAATGGGGTATACAGGGACATAGTCAGTAGGCCTAGGAAAGTTACTCTTGTTCACAGACTAAGAGAAATTCAATATAAACTGCTTCATATAGCAATATATACTGGAATACACTTATTAAGATTCGGCTTTGTTGAAACTAACTTGTGCTCATTTTTCAACCAAAAGATTGAAACATATTTACACTTGTTCTGGGAGTGTGTACATGTTCAAAGGTTATGGCAGAATGCTATCTAAGTTTCAGCTAAGGGAATTAAGGTCTGTCGATTGGGTGGATTTTCATTTAGGGTTGTCCGGATTATTTCCAGGAAATATTTGGTTGTTACAGCTCTGCAGCTGCCCGACGATTAATGTACGATGAGTTTCTGATTAATCTCCAAACGTTTGCAGTATGCTGGTAACCTTACAAATGTCACTTGAGAAACTTTTAAATTTCCATTGGTGCTTCTACTGCTCTTTCATATATTCACTTTGTTTAGTTTTTATCAATTAAAAGGAAAAGAGCGAGAAAAACTTTAAAAATAATAACAAAGAAAACGTTGAATATGAATCACTTAATTTCTCTCGATCTATTTAGATCATGTTATATTTTGTGATTTTTTATTCATAACATAGTGGATTTAATTTTCTTTATGAATGATACGATTTTGGATTTATCGCCTATAGAATGAAACGAAAATGTTCATGTCATTTGTTCTGTGATAAATGTTGTGATATGTGATATGTATGTGGTTGGTATTTGTGCTTTGGGTATGTTTTTAGCCCTAGAAAGTATACTTCATCACTGCATGGTATAGGGTTTTGTTTTCCTTCTATTCATCTCCCTTACAGAAATAGAAATAAGAGCTACTAAGTGGAAGTTCATAATTATTTATGAGGGCTCGATGTATAATATCTGATAGAACCATTCAGCAGGTCTAAACTAGTGACCACATTTTCGGTTTTTAACATTTTGCATTCGTGTGTGTCCTACCATGTTACCTATGGTTTGGGAGCTGAAGGTAAAATGCATCTGCATAATTGTCAGCTTGATCAAATCACAGTATTGAGCATAGCAGGACCTCGGACGGTGCCGTAATGCCTCAAAGGGATGTAGAAGCGCGATCACTCAGTACAGTGATTTACCCAAGCTGATTACTCTGAAAGTTTTTTTTAACACTTTTATTCACCCCTTTGCTCCTATTCACCTCGTATTACGATGTCTGATATAAATTCTTTAATTTGAGTTACATATTATACAACTACAGGTGAGAAAATGATAATGGTGTCTTTTTCTCCCCGTTTTACAGTCTAACATTTTCAAACTGAAGTATTATTTCTATAAAATTGTAAAACTGAATCTAACAAGCGTGATGTGCTTGACCCAGTTTCATGAAACTTTTTTTTCTCCATATTTTGGACCCTCCAACA